CATTTGTTCTGTGAGACAGAGTGTGAAGGCGTATTTCTGAAGCTGTGTTGGTAATTCTGTGTTACTGAATAATGGAGCAACATGATGTTGAAATGAGGAAGCAGATCTCAAGGCAAGTGTAACCACTGACTGTAAAGACAAGGTGACGGAAAGGAACAACTTCACTTCACTCAAAACTGGAATTGTCCTGACAAACTGTCAGGGATTTACATTACTTACAAATGACTTTATAAATGATGTTAGCTACTTGAGTACTCAACAYAAAGACAGGGACACATTTCTCCTAAAAATACATGCAGGGCTCCTACACATATTCCATTTAGAACATGCTGYGCTTTCCTTTTAACTTAAAACCAGTTTTGATAATAAACTCAACTTTATGGTGCTTCACCTATCTTGGAATCGTTATTAGCATATTAAAAAGGGATAATTTGGGAAACCTGTGTTCTTTTTTTCTTTTAGTGAACTAAAGCTTTAGATAGGTTAACACTGGGCTAAGTCAACTGAAATGCTGCACACTGTAAATGTAACATATGATTAATGATAACTAGTTAAACAGTCACACTGAGTTAAAGTTTAAGCTAGTACTATGCTAACGTACTCTCCTGAGCTTTATATCATGTTATAATGTAATTCCCTCATTCAAAACATAGCCAGAGTGTTGCATTCATGCGTGTTTGAGAAATCCTTGAATCTCCTGTAGTAGCCATGTGGAGCTGCTGGTACAAAGCACCGCCTATTTACACACAGCTCCTCYTTGGTGCTCAGTCTCCAGACAAGTTCCCTCCCTCCCMTGTGCTTGTCCCACACAGCTCCACCAGATGTGGTGGAAGTTCATGTCTGTTGAGTTTGTAACACAAACTCAGTCCCATCTTCAAAACAATCAAAAAGCCTTAATCGAGCCAAAGTACTTTTAGATGCCAAGGAGACTACTACCTCACAACACTCCTACGAAACGACAAGAAGGACTGCTGTGATGATGCGCCGAAGCAGGAATGTTGGAAGGAGGAAGTTCTTAAATAGAAAATGGCATTTCAAGATGTTTAGATAGAATGTGATGCAGTTACATTTATTTTTAATATACAGCATTTTCACTTCACTTCACTTCACTTTATTCATTTCATTTGTAACACAAATTAACAAGGTACAAACAACATGCAATCACAATGAAAACAAATAAAACGAAAGGCAGCAGAAGAAGAATAAATCTTGTAATATCTGCCCATTTTTTACCCAAAATATGTTAGTGAAGGTAACATAGTTAATTGATTGTAGTACAGAACTGAACTATGTGCCAAATTGCAAACAGCATTTATGAGATTTCCAAAATGTTCAGAAAATTTGCACAAGTTCTTGTATTTTTCTCATGAGTCAGCTCACTCCTGTCTCCAAAATATTTAACATGTTCCCCCCAAAATTGACTATTTATTATTATTTTTTTCTAAATAGTCTCAATGTAATCACAGATGTCCGAAATTGTCTGTCTCAAATCCTATACGTACAGTTACACAAGGAAAGTCCCCTGGTCCCTTTAGGACCAACCAAAAGCGTATTTATTTATTTATTTATTTATTTATTTATTTATTTATTTATTTATTTATTTATTTATTTATTGTGGTTTGCATTCATATTGTGCTTTTTTGAAAGCAGACTATAATTTCTAAACAGAGTCWTGTGGGTGATGATCCTTGCTCCCATTGGACAGAAATGACAGTGAGAACCAAACATAATGGGAGCCCACATGTGACACTGCCAAGGTCTCACTCCAGCAGCAGCTAAAAGACCTGCTGCAGCCTTCAGCATGCACCTGGTCCTCATCCAGCAGCTGCTGCACTCCTCCTCTGAGGTCCGTATCTCCTTGATGTCTGATGACAAAAATTTTTGACTATGTCTCCTTATTTTTTATGTTTTCTTGTGTATTGTCCCAAAACCATTGACCACAAACCACATCATCTGCTTGAAATATTGACAATATATTTTACCACTTTAAATMATTGGTAATAGTCAGGAGGTTTTTGGACTTAAATCAAGTCCAAGAATTGTTGACTAATATTATTTCACAAAATATTTTCAGGTATGTATTTGTAAAAGTGAGGCTTCATGAAGAAAGTTAATTTGCAACTATATTCTAACTAGTTTTCTCGTGTACAAACGCAGTTGAAAAACCTGAATTGCTGCAATACAAACATGATAAAAATGCAAAAGAACTGCATTTTTAAAATGTCTTTATGTCTAATKCAGACTTTGTGCAAGAAGAGCTTTTCCCCCTGATTTATTCAGACATTATGGGTTTAAAGTCTGTCAAACAAATTGAAGGGCACAGTTGGGAAAAGCTAAGTGAAAATGTTTAACAAATTATGGGCAAAGATGGCTTCAGTTGATTCTTTTTATCCATTTTGGTCCAAAGCCACTTCTCTGTCAAAAAAAAAAAAAAATTTGGCCTCTACATTTCCTTTGCTATGAAAGACATCTCCTTGTTTCTTCTTCTTTTTTATTTATTTTGCTATATTCCTCCATCAACCCATTGGGATTGTTGGATCAGCTGCTGTGAATACACACGTCCCAGACTGCTTTCTGGGACAAACTTCAAGAAGCTGGAAAAAAAAAAAAAGAAAAAGATGCAGGGGGAAATATGGTAGAGAGAGGAAAACGAGAGAACGAGAGAAGCTCCTCTGGCACTACGGAGCCTCTTCAATTATTCAAATGGCCGCTGTCCCTCTGCACTTGTTCTCTCTGYTTGGTTTGAATATTAAAATGGCCGCCCCCAAAAAAAGACAGATATCCAGAAGACGAAGCTCRTGCGAAGAGCAAGGGCTTGAGTATGCTTGACTTTTCACATTTCTGCCAGAGCAGTTGATGTGCAGGAGACTGTCAATGCAACTGACTGCGTGACTTTGAGGAGGAAGATATTCCTGTCACGTATGGCCTAAATTCCATTAAAGACAGACTGATGGACTGCATTATTAGCATGAAGTAGAGAACGCTACCTGAGTCCCAAAAGACAGGGAAAGCCTGCTTAAGTGTGCACTTTGAAGCATTCACTCCCTCGTCCTTTGCTTGAGGACTTGACCTGGTCACAATAGTTCAACATTTCTTGACATTATCTCGAACCTTTTAGATTATTAAARATCACGATTCCCCTCACATCTATCAAAGATTGGACAATGACTGGCTGTTTTATTAAACTTTTTCCATCCATCCATCCATCCRTTTTCTGTACACGTTTCTACCTTTGTCAACTTTAATAAAATAAAATGTTAATTGAACTTTGTTGCTGTGTGAAAAAAATGTTTTAAAAGAACATGGGTGAGAATATACAGCCATATGTCATGTGCTACAGGGCAATTTGCCAGGACAGCCTGTGGTGAAAAATCAACATTTTTATTATGGTTTTATTGTGTTTTTATTTACTGTAGAACAAGGATGAGCTACCCCACTGAATAAAAAAAATCAGCCTTGGGAATGAAGTGCACCATTTTCAGGGAAAGGTGGAACAAATTCCCTTAAAACATTTTTAGAAAGAAAGGTTTTTAATGTCAACACTTAGCAACACAAAATTAGCTGCATGACAACAATAAAATATCTGACTTTTTCTTTAGCTCTGCGTGACAGTCTGTTCACATATCAGTCTATTTTATGTGGCCATTGCCTTATATTTGCACCTGTTTCTTACTATAAATTTATCAACTCACCCAGGATAGGTTTGAATGTAAAACAAAACTGAGAACAGGGAAAACAAGTTTCAATGGATATTCAGAGCAAAAATGTTTTATTTTTACCTGCTTTTTCTAGGTGTAACAGGTCAAAATAACCCCTGCCAGATTAAAACTGGATACAATTTGA